AGTTTATCGAATTTTGGCTTAATTGTCAATTAAAGTGATCAGATTTTTGATTGATGACTTATCAATTCGCATTCTACGCAGCTTCCTCTTATGGAGTCGGAAAATGGTATCAGTAATCAATATATCATTGAATACTGAAATATTGGGCAATCAACTCAAGAAAATATTGGATTGATCAAGTAATCAGATAATACCTTTGGATTGGTTCCTTGATATTTAATTAAGAAGTAATTGCAGGAGTTGATTCCTCGATTAATCTTGTCCTGTTCAAATCAGAAAAAATCCTCTTCATTGCGTCACTAGAATTATCGAATATGGATAGATTCTTTCGATATTTGTGTAGTGATTAACGAAGAGAACCTTTTTTGAAATTGATCAATTAATCATTACTTAGTCCTGCAATCATTCTGGAAATTCAGTTAAATTGATATTAAGCACAACTGAAATTTCAACTGTGAAGATAATCACTACTCTACTCGACTAATGACTTTTCATTACTAGTAAATCATTAAATATACTCGCTAATATTATAAAATTATTATGTAGAACTACTTGGTTAATCATTAATCGAACTTATGGATTTACGCAAAGAAAAAAAGTGGATTGGCTTTAGAAAAAGGTTTTTAAAAATTTGGGGGGGGAGCTGTTTTATGAAAGGGTAGGTCATCGTTGGGGTTTTTCAAAAATATCTCCGAAATTGAATCGCTGAGTTTTTCGAAAATATCTGCGCAACGAAGGGAGATAGCGAATTTTTACAAAAATTTGGGGGGAGATAGGGGGGGGGGCGGTGGATTGAGAATTGACAAGCACAAAAATTGAGTCGGGGAGTTTTTCAAAAATATCTCCGAAACTAAGAGAGATAGCGAATTTTTACGAAAAATTGGGGAGGTGATAGGGGGTTGGTGGATTGAGAATTAACAAACAATAAAATTCAATCGATGAGTTCTTCGAAAATATCTGCGCAACGAAAGGAGAATTTTTACGAAAATTTGATTAATTTCAGAATTGACAACCAAAAAAATTGAGTCGGTGATTTTTTCAAAAATATCTCCAAAACTAAGGGAGATAGCGAATTTTTACGAAAATTTGGGGAATAATAAGGGGGGTGGTGGATTGAGTGTGACGACACGGGTCGTCAACCCGAAATTTATTTTTTTTGTTTATCAAATTTTCTATTTTTCATTAAACCAAGACCTTCTTCAAAGGCATTGAAATTTAATAAGCCTCTAGGACACCTCTCTCTCATCCCATGAGAATCGAGAAAGGAAGAATTGTAATTTCTTTCCCAATTCTAATATTCTTATTATCTCCAACGGTTACAACTCCACGGCGGCGGACTGGGTCAAGAAAAGGAGGTCCTGGGAAAAATCTCTTTGGGCCAAATAACATCCAGACCATTCCATTCAGGCCATTAGAAAAGAGGATTAAACGACGGCGTCCCTCTACGAGGCCCACGCATTTCAAATGGGAGCACAAGGTGTCTCCAACCCAGGATCCAATCACATCAACCACGGAGCAGCGATACTCCAGGATATCCTGACGTGAGGAATGACCGGAGGGAAGTATTTTCTCCCTCCCGACTAGTCAAACCTGCAGGACACCAGCGAGGGATATCCGAGTATCACCATATTTCCTGCTATTCAACGAAAACTTTTGGAATTTAATTTTAAATTTGAGCTTAGAAACATGGAAAATATTCAACTAGAATTATTTGAGGATAAAATCCATAAAATTTCATATTGAGAATATTCTTCAATCAAAATATTTGTTAAAACTTCGATATCCAATTAGATTTGTCGTCTTAAACATATGAGGATCCTTCCCCCAATACGGACTCGAACCAGCGTCCCTAGTGAGCCTGCCCAAACGTATAGAGTCGTCTCCTAGCCAGCGCGAGATGTAGCCGCAAAATAGTACTCTCCGCCAGATTGATATTTATTTCGTTTATTTTTAGTTAAATTTAGTATTTTGGATTATGGAGGCTGCTGTCTATCCTGGGGCAGGTGATTTCTCACTAATTGACAGGTGGGCAGAGCCGAATTGTTATTAACTTTGAGTGAAATCGTAAAACTGTAGCCTTTGTCTTGGCTACTCTTGAGAAAGCGGCCAAGATAGCGTCTTTTCTAATTTTTCATTATATTTTCTTGAGTTGAGGCAGTTGTGATCAACTCCTCTTATATTTTTTCAATTTTTGATGATTACTTTTCGTAAATTTGAGTACAATATTGAAGTTCATTAATTCTGATTAATTTTTGTGTGAAATTAAAATGTGATAAGTTGAATTCATTGTATTTCGAGGTCACGTATTGACCCTCAATTGAATATCGATCCATATTATGGATATTTTGTCATAATTTAGAGAATAGTGAGGAATTATATAACGCTCATTCAACTATATATGTTAACCTAGCAGGCAAAAGTAGCAGAATCGAATTTTCAATATTGGACAATTTGCAGCTTATTATGAGCTAATTTTATATGCCTTCAAAATTTTTTTTGCTAATATCGTTTTTGAAAAAAACGTGTCTCTGCTAGCTTTTTGTAAGTTAGCAGAAAAACTATTTAAAAAATAAATAGAATTTGATTTTCAATATCGGATAATTTAAAGCTAATTAAGAGCTAATGTTCTACGTTTTCAAAAAATTTTCAACTAACCCAGTTTTTGGAAAAACGGCGTCGATGCGAGCTTACCGCAGGTTAGCAGAAAAAATAGTTAAAAAATAAACAAAATTTGGTTTTCGACATGGGATAAGTTACAGCTCATTAGCAATTATTTTTCACGTTTCGAAAAATTGTTGAAGAAAATTTGTTTTTCTCAAAAAAAAATTTCTTTCTAATAAAAAAATTTCAATTTTTTTTCACAAAACGACGCATTCACATACTTTTGACCAAAATGTAGGAATGAACCAAATTTATAAAAGTGATAAAAAAATCATTTTTGGCATTGGATAATTGAAAAATCATTATCAGATAATTCGTTAGAATTCCAAAAGTTTTCATTTTTATGCCGTTCGGAAAACAATAGCGTCGCGGCTTATTATGAGTTAATTTTATATGCATCTAAAAATTTTTCTGCTAGTGCCGTTTAAAAAAAGGTATTCATGCTAGCTTTTTTGTAAGTTAGCAGAAAAATTATTTAAAAAATCAATAGAATTTAATTTTCGATATGGGATAATTTAAAGCTAATCAAGAGGTAATTTTCTACGTTTCCAAAAAAAATTTCAGCCAACCCAGTTTTTGGAAAAACGGCGTTGATGCTACCTTACCGCAAGGTAGCAGAAAGAATGCTTAAAAAATGAACAAAATTTGGTTTTCGACATGGGATAATTTAGAGCTCATTTGCAGCTATTTTTTCATGTTTTGAAAAATTGCAGAATGGTTTCGTGACGGTTTGGTGCGGGTATCAATACTAATAACTCGGTGTTGAGAAGAACTGTATATTTAAAGGCAAGTGTTTACATGCGTACTCAAAAGTAGACTGACTTCATCCGCCGGAGAGCGTACGAGTTTATATACTTTCGTTTATCGAACCTTCGAGAATTATCCTGAAATTTCGTGAGAGACAAGGACAGAATGATGTTTGTCTCGAATTCCGACGTTTGGAATATTCGAGACGCTACGAAATAAATTCAAGAAATTAATCTATTGTGGCTCGCACCATAAGTACTCCCCTTCTGCGGAAAAAGAAAAGAAAGCAAAATAAACCAAAAGAAAATCAATAATATCGATTTGTCGAGAACAGCTGATGTCGTTTAGCGAATCTGACGCGCTTTTGAATTGATGACGTCGATGAGCCGGTGTCAGATGGGCGATAAGATGACGAACGTCGAGATGTTCCCGGTTGCGGTGACTCCGTCGTTAGCTTCGTCGTCATTGTTGTGCTCAACGTCTGGGAGCGAGAAAACAGGTTTGAGACGGTCGATGGAGACTACGGTATTTTCGCCTCTAATTCGAATGACGAAATGATTCTCGTGCCTCGATATTACTTGGTGTGGCCGCTCGTATGGGGACGTGAAGGCATGATGGGGAGCGTCGCGACGAACGAGGACGTGTGAGCAGTTTGCGAGCTCCTTAAAGACGAAAATCTTCCTCTGGCCATGACGGGCGACGGGTTGAGGAGCGAGATGGGCGAAGAGATTCCTTAGACGATCGGCGATATTGATAGGCGGTAGCCCGCGTGGTGGCGAGGGAGCAAGAAATTCCCCCGGTAGTCGGAGCGGTTCACCGAAGACGAGGTCGGCAGGAGTTGCGCCGAGGTCTTCTTTCCAGGCGGCGCGAATTCCGAGAAGGACGATAGGCAGCATATCCACCCACGAATCGCTTTCATGACAGTGAATGGCGTCCTTCAGATGACGATGCAGACGTTCCATCATTCCATTTGACTGAGGATGGAACGTGGTGATGTGAATATGTCTGCTACCGAGAAGACGAGCGAGAGCGTTGAACAGCTGGCTCTCAAACTGTGTCCCCTGGTCGGTTGTAATTCGAAGCGGCACTCCGTAGCGGCAGATCCATCCAGAAAAGAGCGTTCGGGCGACACACTCGACTCCAAAGTTCTCAATGGGGAACGTCTCTGGGAACCTGGTGAAACGGTCTATGATCGTCAGGCAGTTGCGATACCCTCTGGATGGAACGTACGGTCCAATGATGTTCACGTGTATGTGCTCGAAGCGCTGCGTGCGTCCTGGAAAATCTTGAACAGGAGATGAGACATGACGAGATACGTTATTTCGTTGGCAAGCGATGCACGCGCGGGCCCATAGACGGCAGTCTCGGTTGATTTCGGGCCAGATGTAGCGCTGCGTTATCAGCTTCGTTGAGACTCGTGTCCCAGGATGGCTAATGCTATGGAGTGCGTCGAAAATACTTCTACTCAACGGCACAGGAACGAAAGGGCGAATCAGATCGCCAGATTCGTCACAATAGATAGGCGTGGCGCAGTCTGGAACATCGACAGGTCGTAGGGCGAGAGCGTCGTGATGTTCACCCTGGAGACGTTGCTAGAGCTCCCCCTCAGCAGCTTGAGCTTCGGCAAGGTCATTCGTAGAGACGCCGGCAGAGATTGCCTCGATACGAGAAAGCACATCGGTGACAACGTTGTCCTTGCCGGCCACGTACTGGATGTCGGTCGAATACTGACCGATAAAATCCAGGCGGTAGAACTGCCATGGCGTGACTCTGTCGGAATCCTGGGCGAAGGCGTGAAGCAACGGCTTATGATCTGTGAAGATCATGACGTGCCTTGCCTCGAAAATGTAGCGGAACTTTCGCACGGCAGCGTAGATGGCGTGGAGCTCTCGATCGTAAGGGCAGTGCTTCCTCAGCGCAGGTTGTAGTTTCTGGCTGAAAAATCCCAGTGGTTCCCAGTGCTGTCCTCGTCGTTGCTGCAGGACTGCACCGATGCAGTCGTTCGAAAATTATAAAATTATAAAATTATAAAATCGATGAAAATTATTCAAAAACAAAACAAAAAAAATTAATTTAATTTTTTGAGAGAAAAAATTAGTAACTTCCTAGCCGGGAATCGAACCCGGAACCTCCCAATGTCGCTTCGGGTGCTCTTACCATCTGAGCTACCAGGACACTTACGAAGTTCACTCTCAAATTGACTCATACCCGACTGGAAATTCTATTCAGGTCTCGATCAGAAACTGAATTGGTTTGGTTGTATCCGCCACTACGAAGCGCCATGTGAATTCCCTCCGGAGGCCGAGGTTGAGAGATAGAGTTATGCAACCGTACGTGTTGATTATCGAGCCGTTGGCTGCAATAAGCGTATAGTTAACTCGTTTCTTTGTTCCAGGAGCGAGAGATTTCGGATATGTACAAAGATCGGCGCCGGTATCCACCAAGTATTGGATTTTGGTGGCGCGATCGGTTACGAAGAGGCGTCTGGATTTGAAAGAGGGAACGTTAACCGCCGCTAACGATCCGCCGGGGCGTTTCCCTGCCACGACCAAGGTGTTTTGCAACGTCTAGCCCTGTCGTGGTATCTTCGATGATACCAGCACTGGTTGTTATCGGGTGCGAGGTTGCTCGAGAACGGGATCGAGAGTGGGAGCGAGAACGTGCGACGCTTTGCCCTTTTAGGGCCGATACCACCTCGCAGATTGTGGCTTCGAGATNGGGAACGTTAACCGCCGCTAACGATCCGCCGGGGCGTTTCCCTGCCACGACCAAGGTGTTTTGCAACGTCTAGCCCTGTCGTGGTATCTTCGATGATACCAGCACTGGTTGTTATCGGGTGCGAGGTTGCTCGAGAACGGGATCGAGAGTGGGAGCGAGAACGTGCGACGCTTTGCCCTTTTAGGGCCGATACCACCTCGCAGATTGTGGCTTCGAGATGAGAAAAGCGTGTCTCGAGGGCTGAGGACGTTGGCTCCTGGACGTCATTGAAGTGGGCTACCGGCAATGCGATCTCGTGCAGTTTATCGGCGAGTGTTGCAAGCCTGTCGAGAGCTATGTCCGCTTGTGACGCCAGGATGGACTGCGTCGTCATCGGCAGTCGGCTGAGCCACTTGGTGCGTAAAATGTTGTCAGGAACCGTGTCGTCGAGACTCCTGAGATGACGCAGAAATTGCGAGAGCTTCCTGTCATCCAATACCTCTCGGTTGAGCAGCTGCTGGAGTCGTGCGTCCCGGGAGAGCGTGAGGCGTACGATGAGCGCCTCCTTGAGACCTGTGTACGGTGTCTCGGCAGGCACATTTAGGAGGATATCTTGCACCTCAGCAGCGGCCTTGGGATCGAGATGAGACGAGGCATAGTAATCCCTCGTTACTTCATCGTTAATCCCGGATAGATGAAACTGTCCCTCGAGTTGGGCGAACCATAACGCTGGACGTTCGGCATTGAAGGCGGGACATCGTATCAAAACGCATTGGAGCTGAGCTCCATTTTTAACTTCGCGCACCTCGACACTATCGGGCAAAATGCAAAATTTCGCGAAAAACAACACTAGAGAAAGTCTGAAAAATATTCAGTGCAGCACAGCGTCCTTGGGTGCTCAGCAATGCACCGAAATTCACGAAAAGAACTCGAATGGACCGCGTGAACGATACAAACACGAGCGTACGCGGCACACAAACCACTCACAAAGTGCACGATCGAAATGGACTCGAATTTCGCGGAATAGTCGCGGCGTTAACGTGATATAATTAATAATCAAAGAAAACGCGAGAAAACTATTCACTTTAATCACGTCGGGGTCACGAGTTGTGGCGGTTTGGTGCGGGTATCAATAATAATAACTCAGTGTTGACAAGAACTGTATATTTAAAGGCAAGTGTTTACATGCGTACTCAAAAGTAGACTGACTTCATCCGCCGGAGAGCGTACGAGTTTATATACCTTCGTTTATCGAAGGTTCGAGAATTATCCTGAAATTTCGTGAGGGACAAGGACAGAATGATGTTCGTCTCGAATTCCTACATTTGGAATATTCAAGACGTTACGAAATAAATTCAAGAAATTGATCTATTGTGGCTCGCGCCACAGTTTTTTTTTCAAAAAATATATTGTTTTTAATAAAAAAAATTCAGTTTTTTTTTACAAAACGACGCATTTACATACTTTTGACGAAAATATAGAAATTAACTCAATCTCATTTATAAAAGTGGCAAAAAAAATCATTTTTGACATTGCATAATTGAAAAATCATTACCAAATAACTTCCTCCATCCGGGTCGGAAATTTGAAAATAATACTAAAATAAAAATTTCTAAAATAAACCATACATTCGGAAGCATATTGCTAATTTATTAGCAATAAAACTATACGCACTTACAGGAAGTGCAATTATCCACTTGTTTTATTTTTTGAAACGTGAAAAAAATTGGTGCTAATGAGCCTTCAATAATCCGAAGTCGAAAATCAAATTTTGTTCATTTTTGAATCATTTATTTTCTAATATATGGCAAGTTTTGGATGCATATAAAATTAGCTCATAATAAGTCGCAATGCTATTGTTTTCCGAACGACATAAACATGAAAACTTTTTGAAAACGTAGAAAATTAGCTCTTAATCAGTTTTAAATTATTCGATATCGAAAATCAAATTCAAATTCTAGTGATTTAAATAATTTTTCTGCTAACTTACAAAAAAAATAGAATGAATACGTTTTTTTTCTGAGAAATGGCATTAGCAGAATATTTTTTGGATGTATTATATGGGACCTTCCATGTCAACTCAGCCACGCCGGATTTTTCTTTGTCTAGAAAAAATGATTTGATTGCCGCATTTCGAACTACTATATATAGACAGTATTTCTGCCAAATTTCATTGCCTCAAGATTTTTTGTTTCTGAGATAATGACTACCAAACATTAAATTTTCAAAAATTCATAACTTTTGAATGGCGCATCAAATTCGAACAAATAAAAAAAGAAAATTTTTGATTTCATTCATTCGTGAAGAAGATTCTACCCCCATTTTTCGATGAATTTTTACGTTTTTATTTTTTTTTCGGCTCCAGGGCCGTCCGGTATTCGACTGGAATATTTTTTTTCTGATAGAGGACGTCCATATATGATGTAAAAAAAATACGCCAACATGGGAGAGACAACCAGTGCACCGGAGAAAATTTTTGTTTCCTAAATTTTCGTGTTTTTCCGCTTTCTAGGGGAGCTGCCTCGTCTTTATTAAGAAATTGATATTTCAATCCATACCTTTGATGAATATGAGTTAGGAAAGAGATTCATCACGATAGAAAAGAGAAACAATGCGTCGGAAAAAAAATTTTCTCTGAAATTTTTGAGTTTTTTCGCTATCTATGAGAGCTTTCCAAAGAAACAAACGTGTCAATCAATATTTTTTTCTCATAACGATGAAAAGGAAAGCCACCATGGAAGAGATAAGCAGTACACCAGAAAAATGTGATTGCTTCGCAATTTTCTTATTTTTTCTCCTTTTCTCTTTTTCTTCGTCTTTTCAATCTTTTTTTTGCTTCTTTCACCTTTCAATCGACAGTTTTCCTTTCTGCTAGATGGAAGGGACCATCAACAACATTATAAACCTCTTTCGAAAGACAAAGTACTCATCCAAAGAAGTGCGAAACATGTTTTATTTTACTGTAACGACCTTTTTACATTTTTACAATAAGAGGCTATTATTTACCGTCTCCAACTACCACTTGCCCAATTGCACTGATTTACTATACATCTATTCATTACGATTACTGTTTTCTAAGTGCTTTCCGTTTATTTGTTGTTATTGTTTTTGTTTCGGGAAAACTTCTTGGTTTTCCGCAGCCGAATATTGTTTCATTAACAATTGCTCTCCCGGTTTTGGAATGAAACAATGGTGTTTTTGAATGGCTGGAATAGCTTTGGCACTATGAAATCTTTTCCTCAATTCAGTTTTTATATTCTCATGTTCGTCCTTGGTGAAAAGAAAAACATCAATTCCTTTGAAATTCTCTTTTGACCATTGAAACAAAGTATCTGGCGTCAGGATGAGTTCACCATGGACGATTTGTAAGCGTCTACGTCTCGCTTCTCTTTTGAAAACAGCACCCACACCGTCACAAGCTCCTTTACCGTGTGCGGTTGCATGGAAATGGGCCTCTGCATCTATTCCAAAATCAGTCTTGTGATGCTGAAGATTAGCCATTTGGTAACGATTCTTATAATGCTGTGCAGCTCCATCGGTGACATAGATGATTCTCTCGACATCTTTGCCGTTATTCTTCACATGTTGTATTAGAATTTTCTGTACCAAGTAAAGAGCTGCGGTATCGTGAGTAGTACTATATGACAAAGCAACTAAACTCCGATGCTGGATCTCGTTTCCTTCGCGATAGTAGTAAACAACGGGATGAACTGTACATTGGTCATTGTTGTAGTGGAAGGATTGAGCAGCATCTTGAGCCACAAAGGCATAATTTTCTGAGAAATCACAGTGCACTAGTACTTCGCCGTTATTCAAATTCTCTTTTCGATCTTCAACAAAAGCTGATTGTTCTTTAGCGATGAAGTGATGGGGTTTTAATACTTTTAATCTTTCGACAAGAAGATCGACGAAGTCATCCATCGCAAGCGTTTGTGTCTGCAAGGTACACCTGTCAGTAGTTTGCCATACGCGAAATTGGACAGTTTCGACAACAGAATCAGAAAGGGGCTTCTTCAATTCACATGAGAAGGGTTTCACCCCAGGGCAGTCGTTACATTCATCCAGATAACAGGCCGGGGTTGGATTTGTACACATCAGTTGTGCTAGACAATCTTTGTAATCCTTGAGTGGGCAGAGGGAATCTTTAGTTAGAGTGGCAATGTTGATGGCTTCGAGCATCAATTTGCAATTTTGATGATACGTGCAAACACATACGACGTGAGTGCCATTTGCTCCCGCCAGTACACATTGTTTTGGTCTCAGCTCAGCGAACTTACTGAAACCAACCAAAGCCTCTGGATGAGTATTTTTGTACTTCCTATGAAGGTGTTTCAGATTTTCGAGTATCATTTGCTTTTGCTCTACTTTCTTCTCTCCATCGATTTTGACGGATACTTTACCTTTCATCCCTGGCATGACATGACTATTCTCTAGATAAAACTTGTGTACTTTCTCTACCGTTTGTTTCGGAAGTGAATGGCCTGCTTTCGCAATTCCTGAGGCAAATACTCCTTTAATTTCTCTCAATTTTTTCGCTCTTGACGCCATGTGTCTCGTAACGCCAAATTCAGAAGCGATTTTCTGCTCGCTCTACGACTGTGGAAGAGCTGTCAAGATTTGCAAGCGCTCACCGTACTTTTCCAGATCATTGAATTTTTTCTTCAAACCATCCAGCATTTCTTCTAATTCTATTTCTCTCGAAGATCGATAGCGCTTTGATAAAGAAGGATCAGCGTCACTTTGGTCATCTTCCGCATCAGAATGCATGGGGGAACTGGAGAATTCAGATACATTGTCCGCTTCTTCATCGATTGAAATGCCGGAATCGTCGAGATGGAAAGAGCGACCTGATATCAGAGAAATGTTCATCACATCTGGGCTTGGTTCGGGTCTTTCGGCTTGGGGCTTTGATATCTCGGTTGGGGCGTCCGAACATCGAAGATATGTATCATGAAGATTCACCATTGAGACGGGTGGAATCACATAATTCGGGGCCATCTTCCGGCACTGGCCACAGATTTTCGCAGACTTTGGTAGAAAGGGAAACTTCTTGTGTATTGCCGAGGAAATGGGCCGCAAATCCAAACCATTGTGTCCCTTCTGACCAGGAATCCGCATCGGATTCGCACACCTATCACTTCGCGGCATTCTATGAAATGCAAAATTATCAAATCCAATCCAAAATTATCCGGAAAATGAGGATTATTCCAATAAGTAACGTGAAAACTGCTTACCTCGATACAACAGACAGGAAAATGCGAATCGATTCGCAAGGAATTGTACAACGATGAAAACTCAATGAAGAAGTTGAAGTTTTCACTAAAACTAGAGTCTCAGGAAAAACTGATGATATTAAATCAATGAATTGATTATTTTTGTTTTCTTTTCTTATTTGTTTGGTCATGATTAGGCGAACTTGCGATGATGATGACACAGTATAGGTCTCATAGAAAGCGAAAAGACGCAAAAATTTTGAAGAAATTTTTTTTCCCGACGCATTGTTCCTCTTCTCCATCGTGACGCATCTCTTTTCTAACTCATATTCATCAAAGGTATGGATTGAAATATCAATTTCTCAATAAAAACAAGGCAGCTCTCCTAGAAGGCGTAAAAACACGAAAATCTAGGAAACAAAAATTTTCTCCGGTACACTGGTTGTCTCTCTCACGATGGCGTGTTTTTTTATATCCTATATGAATGTCCTCTATAAGAAAAAAAATATTCCAGTCGAATACCGGACGGCCCTAGAGCCGAAAAAAAATAAAAACGTAAAAATTCATCGAAATTTAGGTGTGGAAGCTTCTTCACGCCTATGGAATATTTTTTTCCTGCAAGTATGAACGAAAACAAAAATTTTCTTTTTTTATTTGTTTGAATCGGATGCGCCATTCAAAAGTTATGAATTTTTGAAAATTTAAAGTTTGGTAGTCATTATCTCAGAAACAAAAAATCATGAGGCAATGAAATTTGGCAGGAATACTGTCTATATATAGTAGTTCGAAATGCGGCAATCAAATCATTTTTTCTAGACAACAAAAAATCCGGGGCGGCTGAGTGGACATGGAATGTCCCATAAATTAGCTCATAATAAGCCGCAACGCTATTGTTTTCCGAACGACATAAACATGAAAACTTTTGGAATTATAACAAATTATCTGGTAATGATTTTTCAATTATCCAATGTCAAAAATGATTTTTTTGCTACTTTCATAAATGAGATTTAGTTCATTTCTACATTTCGGTCAAAAGTATGTAAATGCGTCGTTTTGTGAAAAAAAAAATTATGTTTTGAAACGTGAAAAAATAGCTGCTAATGAGCTCTCAATTATCCCATGTCGAAAACCAAATTTTGTTAATTTTTTAAACATTTTTTCTACTAACTTGGGATAAGATAGCATCAACGCCGTTTTTCTAAAAACTGGGTTAGCTGAAATTTTTTTTGGAAGCGTAGAAAATTAGCTCTTAATTAGCTTTAAATTATCCGATATAGGAAATTAAATTCTATTGATTCTTTAAACGAGTATTCTGATAACTTGCAAAAAAACTAGCATGAATACGTTTTTTTTTTTAAATTGCATTAGCAGAAATTTTTTTAGATGCATATAAAATTAGCTCATAATAAGCCGCAGCGCTATTTTTTTCCGAACGGCATAAAGATGAAAACTTTTGGAATAATGACAAATTATCTGTTAATGATTTTTCAATTATCTAATGTATGACGCTGAAACTAGCGGGAGACCGTAGCCGGAGATGTGGTGGGGGACTGTACGGCCCCCACTACCGCCACTCACTGTACGTTCCCATCTCGTTAAATTACAAAAATTAATACAAAGCAAAGCCGTGAAAAATTAAAAATATTGTCTATTTGTACCTGTGGGATGGGGGAAGACTAATGGGGGGGGGGGAGATATATCGGTGTACTCAGTAGGGGATTTTTAATTGATTTTTACAAATCCGAGGGAAAAAAAAAAGAATTATAATCAAACGCAAACACTTGGGGTCAATTTTTTTTTTTTGAAAATGCACCAGGGGTATTGGGGGTTGATCCCCATTAAGAAGTTTCCCAGTGCCCTCATTAGGGAATTTTTAATTAATTTTTGAAAATCAATTTCACCAAGTCTTCGGGGGAAAAAAAGGGTAATAATCCAACGCAAACACTTGGGGTCAAATTTTTTTTTGGAAAATGCACCAGGGGGGCTGCGGGTTGATCCCCATTAAGAATTTTGCCGATGCTCTAAGCAGGGAATTTTTCATTAATTTTTGAAAATCAATTCCACCAAGTCTTCGGGGGAAAAAAGGGTAATAATCCAACGCAAACACTTGGGGTCAAATTTTTTTTTGGAAAATGCACCGGGGGCCTGGGGGTTGATCCCCATTAGGAATTTTACCGGTGCCCTAATTAGGGAATCTTTCATTAATTTTTAAAAATCAATTCCACCAAGTCTTTGGGATAAATAAAGGGTAATTATCCAACGCAAACACTTGGGGTCAGAATTTTCTGTGGAAAATGCATCAGCGGAGATGGGGGTTATTCTCGATTAAGAATTTTCCCGGTGCCTTAATCAGGGGATTTTTTTTTGTGAATTCCGAATTATGTGAATGGCCGAAGGATTTTCATGAGCCCGTCCGGTGCATTTTCAAAAAAAAAATTTTTGATCGCAAATTTGTGCGTTGGATTATTTTCTTTTTTTTCCCCCGAGCCCTTGGTAAAATTGATTTTCAAAAATTAATGAAAAATTCCCTAATTATGGCACCGGTAAAATTGCAAATAAGGATCAACCCCCAACCCCCTCGGTGCATTTCCCAAACAAAAATTTGACCCCAAGTGTTTGCATTGGATAATTACCCTTCATTGCCCCCTTAAGGCTTAGTGAAATTGATGTTTAAAAATTAGGGCACCGGGAAAATTCCAAATGGGAATCAACCCGCGATCCCCCCCCCCTTGTAGGAATTGAGGTGTAGTCGGGAAGGTAACAATCCACTAACAAATGCAATTAAATTAATAATTACAGATTTATTATCCGCGTCAAAATTAATACAAAGGGGGAGAGAAAATAATATGATCCGATCAAGTGTTATGCCCCAGATTTTGGTCAATTGCGTTATTGTTTAATATGTGGACATACAGCATTGTCAGCGTGACACTTGCCAGCGTAACTGGATTATGCTGACCAAGTGATGAAATGTAAACAATAAATGTATTATTTAAGAGATGATTGGGTCTGCACAGAACAGAATTGAATTGGACTCCGACGCGTACAAAAGTCGTAAACTCTTTGTAATCAGTCAGATGACACAGTAATTATAGTCATGTAATAAATTCTCATATTTAAATACCGATAAACCATTGGTGGGATTTATCCCTTTAAGCCTAGAACCTACTATAATTATAAGTACCCCCCACGCTGCGTACAACATTTGGTGGCAGCGGTGTTCGGCTACAATAATAAAGTATTTAAATTTTCACGTCGACGTACTGAGTGACGTTCGCATTAAATTCTGAAATCTACGTACGGAGGGACGTAGTACTGAAACCAAGTCGACGTAGGGAACGACGTTGCATTTTTTCGGGTGTCACTAACTAACGGTGCAGTGGTCAGGGGACACGCGTCAGCAAATAGCTGAGCGGCCGATGGACTTCGGATTGCAGGGTTTCAGTGGGTCAACTTGAGATAACCATTGATATACCTGGGCTACTCGGAGAAGCAAGCATTCAACGAACTACTTGGAGGAGTAGATATCGCGGCTACTTGGAAGAGTAAGCATTGAACAAGCTACTTGGATTAGTAGGCAATATAGCAGGTTTTAGGTGGGTCATTGTAACGTGACTCGGGGATACCTGAGCTACTTGGAGGAGTGGATAGTGAATAACGGCAAAGCCAAATGAGTTTTGAGGGTAGATCTGGGCACGTAAGTCGAGATAATTTTTCATTACGTAGATCAAACTCGCTGGACCCAGTGGTGCCAGGAGCCGGAGAGGAACTGGCGGGAATATTGCGAGAAGTTACCTTCAGAGCAAGGCGGAATTTGACAGATCGGGATTCGTCTGGAGAAAATATACCACGAATAAGGCAGCGACGGATGGCAGATGCACTTGGTGATTTTGGAGTGAATCTGCGGCGACATTATTCATTTAATTCGGACGATAGTTTATCCGACGTAGATATGAATTCACCTCACGGTTTAAGAGACGCCGTCAGTGCTGAGATGGAACGTATGCGGAGAAATTTCGAAAGACGACACGGAGGCAATGACCAAGGTGAGAATTTGGGAGCTGTGAATGGATTAGCGAACAATCAAGCAATATCACCTGAAAGACCAACGAGACGTCATGATCAGTTAAGGAGAGACTACGAGGATTTAGTCGCGCGACACAATAGGTTGTTAGAGCAATTCAATGCACCACTAGATGGTTCGGAAGAAAGGCGAGAAATCATCAACCGACGAAAGAAAGAAATTGGTGCAGCGCGTGTAGCGTTACAAGCCGCAGAAGCGAGGGCCAGAGCATCAGAAGCAAGAGCTGAAGCAGCTGAAGCGAGAGTTGAAGCAGCAGAAGAAACAGCGGAACGAGCTGAAAGAGGGGAAGACCGGGCCTGGCTGCGGAATCGGCGACGTACTAATTTTGGTGAGGATGATTACAACATCGACGTTACTTTAAAAATTATCAAGGAGTTTGACGGTAACGACCCAACAAAACTGGAGTGGTTTTTGCGAAATTGCAAGTTGGTATTTTCCCGTGTACGAGAACAAGATCATCCATATGTATTGGAATTGATTTTAACCAATAAATTGACGGATCATGCTATGCGGGACATGAAATACAAGGAAATCCAAACAATGGAGCAATTGGAGACAGAGTTGGAGGCTCTGTATGGTACGAAAAAATCCATAGATTCATTATAAATGGAGTTATCCACTTTGATACAATGAGAAGGAGAATCTGTAAGCTGCTATGGTTCAAGGACTGAGAGTATTACAGCGGAATTGGTGGACGAGTTATCGAAAACCAAGGAGACACTAGCTGAGAAACGAACGGTGGAGGATGCCATTAGACAGCTAGCAAAAGCAAGTTTCGAGACTGGATTGCGTGGCCAGCTACAGGTCCTTGTAAGGGCCAGGGCTTTCAAAACACTGCATAATCAGTCATTGAAGCTATTGATTTAGCTAAAACATCGAATTTGCAATCCGGAAAGCCAAGAATTTTTGATGGGCAGAGGGTAGAGAAAACTTGTTACAGGTGCAACTTGGCTGGTCATTTTTCAAGAGACTGTCCCACTCGCGAGGGTTCCACAAGGCTTTCTCGAGGAGAGGGGAAGAGAACATCGGTAATGCCGTTTGGAGCTGTTTGCAAATACTGCAGATATTCGGGTCATGAGGCAGTGGATTGTCATAAGCTGAGAAACAAACTGGGACTGTCAGACGATCAGTTCGTCCTTGTGGGAAAGAAAGAATCAGGCACTGCGAAACCACGTAATTTTGCAGGAAGTAATGAGAGCTCAAAACTGCCAGTAGGAGCATCCCAGATTTGTCGAAAATTTATTCTTATTAGTGAATTGATTTAGAGAGAGAAATTCAATTTTAATTGTTAAAATTTTGTTATCGTTGATAACAAATTTTTTATTTTAAAAGGAGAGGAATGTTATGCCCCAGATTTGGTCAATTGCGTTATTGTTTAATATGTGGACATACTGCATTGTCAGCATGACACTTGCCAGCGTAACTGGATTATGCGGAACAAGTGATGAAATGTAAACAATCAATGTATTATTTAAGAGACGAGTGGGTCTGCACAGAACAGACCTGAATTGGACTCCGACGCGTACAAAAGTCATAAACTCTTTGTAATCAGTCAGATGACACAGTAATTATAATCATGTAATAAATTCTCATATTTAAATACCGATAAACCATTGGTGGGATTTATCCCTTTAAGCCTAGAACCTACTATAATTATAAGTACCCCCCACGCTGGGTACAACACAAGTGTGCGATACGAGCTGCACTCGAAGACTGAATTATATTCGCACGGAAAGGTGTCAGCGAGGCTGCCGAATATCCTTACGATTTGACGAATCAGAAAAGAATACGCGTGGCACTGAAAGTACGAGTGAGACGGCAAATGCCTGTGCTCGTCGTTAGCCAGTGTTCGCGTTTTAGGATACAGCGGGGCGCTACATGACTCCCCTGTTTGGAGTAAAAAACATAGTTTTTTTGAATCTGCAACAGAAAATGATTATTCTAGAGACAGGAAAATTTGTCAGGTTTGGCAAGCAGGTGAAGAAAAAAATTTTGAATGAGGAGACTTGGACATGGTAGACGTGAATTGTCGGTCTGTTGGCGAATGTTACGCCTTTCCTCCGTCTTCAGCAGCAGGTGCCTTGCTCGTGCTCGGCTGCGGCTGGTCCTGTTTTTGAGGCTCGTCGGGTACGTCTTGGTGCGGAGTCTGTCCTGGAAGCTGATCCATGTCCTCCGGCAGTATGTACGCTGGTTTCAGTCGGTCGATGGATATCGGTGTGTTCTTGCAGTTTCCCAAACCTCCGGACTTGAACCAGATGACGAAATATTTGTCGTGACGACTGATGACGCGAAAAGTGCCGATGTATGGTGGTCGGTATGCCATTCGCACGTGGTCTTCGTGAACGAAGACATGCGTATACGTTAATAAGTCCTTGAAGATGAACGTTGAACGTGTACCATGGTGTGCAGCTGGAACAGGCGCGATTGTACGAAAATGTTCGCGTAGATTTCTCACCAATTCCGGTGCTGCTGTTTGTTGGTTTGCTGGCACGAGGAACTCTTTGGGTAGACGGATAGGTTCCCCATACGTTAGCTCAGCAGGGGTCGTTTGAAGGTCGTCCTTCCACGCGGATCTCAAACCTAAAAGTACTAGGGTAAGTGCGTCGAACCGAGCTCCGCCGTGACATCGTGGTGCTGCTTTTAGTTGGCAATGTAGCCTCTCAACCAAACCATTTGATTCAGGGTGAAAAGGCGTTTTCAGGATCCTCTTGGTGCCTAGGATTCGCGTGAGCTCCTTGAACGTGTCTGAAAAGAATTGACCACCTTGATCAGACGAAATTCAAAGAGGTATTCCGAAGCGTGCAGCATGAGGTATCCAGTGGTAGAGAATCGCGTCAACTACCGTAGGTAATTTTGTATCAATCAATGGAACTGCTTCTGGATACCGTGTGAATCGATCGACGATGGTCAAACACCAGCTGTGTCCTTTTGAGGCAGGAAGAGAGATAAGATCGACGTGTATGTGTTCGAAACGTCGCGATGGTGTCTCAATTTCAGCTATTGGTTTAACCGCGTATCGCGTGACTTTGTTTTTCTGACATTTCAGGCAGTGTTTGGTCCATTCAGAGCAGTCTTTATTCATGCTCAGACATAGCATTGCGTAATGAGTTTCCGTGAACCTCTGCATCCAGGATGAACCATTGAGTGCAGCGAGTTGAATACTTGGTGTCTCAGCTGGGGAGGCACATATGGGCGAACTGTACCTGATGACATAGCTGATGCACAGTACAGTGGTTCGTCCGTTCCGGCAAGTTGTAGGCGGTCCAGTCGTAGATTCACATGCGGTCGCTGGAGTATCCGTTGAAGCTGTTGGTCGTCGCGTTGGGCATCTATGAGCTGTTGCGTTGTGACAGCGGTTGAGACGGCTTTGACTCCTGACAGAGCATCTGCCACGACGTTGTCTGGGACCGCGATGTACCGGATGTTCGTACAGAATTGGGCGATGTAGTCCAATCTTCGGTATTGCCAGGGTGAAACTCGTTCTGGTTTTTGCTTGAACGCGTGAGTCAGAGATTTATGGTCAGTGAAAATTATCACATGACGCCCTTCAAAGATGTGTCTGAAGTGCAGTGCCGCTTCGTAGATCACCTGCAGTTCCCTGTCGTAAGTCGCATGTTTCTGCGAGGAAATCGTGAGTTTCCTGCTGAAGAATGCAAGCGGTTGCCAGGAATTGCGGTGTTTCTGCTGTAAAACGGCTCCAATCGCGTGATCTGATGGGTCTGTGAAAATGGCCCACTATGCTTCAATATTTGGATGAGACAACAGAGTGACCTCTGCCAGAGCCTGTTTGCTGCGCGTGAAGGCTTCTTCAAGGGCTGGAGTCCAGGTTACTGGATGCTTTCCTTTGACATTTAGACCCTGGGTTGCCGCGTTCAGTGGGGCGAGAATTTCTGCTGCTCCCTTGATGAACTTCCGGTAGAAATTTGAAGTATCGAGGTACCTGCGCAGTGTTTTTACGGTAGTAGGCCTCGTGAATTCGAGAATCGCGTTAACTCGATCTCTGGGAGGCTTAATTCCCTGCGCCTTGATCGTGTGTCCACCTCTGGTTGCCCCAGGACTGATTTGGCGATGTTTACTATCAATCCGTAGTCCTGTAGGCGTTGAATAAGTATTCTCAGGTGTTTGCGATGTTGTTCTTCGTTGTCCGATGCTACTAAAATGTCGTCTATGTATGAAAACAGAAATGGTAGATCGCGTGTCACTTTATCTATTAGGAGTTGAAAGGTTTTAGCCACGTTCCTGAAGCCGAAAGTCATGTGCGGAGATTGAAAAAGTCCAAAAGGCGTGGTTATCGCGGTCTTTTGGATGTCCTCAGGTGCAACTGGAATTTGATTAAACGCTTTGACCAGATCTATGGTAAAGAAAATTGTTTTGCCGTACAAGTTGACAGCAAAATCCTCTAAATAACGAACAGGGTACTTATCTGGTATAGTTCTGTCGTTGAGTGTGCGGTCATCTCCGCATGGTCTTCATTCGCCGTTCTTTTTCAGGGCCAAACGGAGCGGAGATGACCAATGACTTTCACATCTCCTTGCAGTTCCCAGTTTTAACATGCTCGAAAATTCAGCATGTGCGATTTTGAGTTTATCTGGCGCCAAACAGCGCGCTCTGCAGGAGATAGGTGGTCCCGGTGTCGTTCTAATGTGGTGGAGAGTAGAGTGCTCCGTGGTTCTGAGCAGTCCCTCTGGTTTCGTTATTGCCGGGAATTCTTTCAGGATGGACGCGTACGGTGAATCTCTGTTGATCTCGAGGAGCTTAACAGACAGTGCGCAGTAACACGTAAACTGGCCATTCGATTTTAGGCCTGTTGAGCTGTCGATTAGACACTC